CGTGTACTAAAACTGCGACACGGTGGATGTGACTCACCACTGAATAACGTTACGGTCCACCATTTGACACTGGCCCAATCATCAGACCTCTGCAACCATTTCATGAAGTGGCAAATTCAACCAAGTTTACTATAGAGAATTTCTTGTTGGACATCCGAATATTACAATCATTTAATTGAAAACAATTTTACCGAACTGTTACATTAGCTCCTGTGATCAGGACATCATGTATTATAACCCTGCGAAATCACGCCAAACATTGGCTATTGCTACAACAGTCCTAACACTGACTATTTTGCGTACCAGCATCATCACGTTCCTGGATCCCACTATTACCTGACAAAAGGCCCACACGCATAAATTTCAAAAATTTCAGTTGTAGCTATTTAAAACGAATTGTTTTACTATTCCGAAGCAGCTATGCTTGTATGCATATTGGATCACGCCTTCACTGGTGCGTCTCCTTCTATCGAGAAGATACCGTATATTTGTTTAATCGGTTTGACAATAGCAGGATGCACATTACCAGTGCCAGGTGATTTGTGTGGATTTAAGTCCTTCAGTACAGAGAAGACATTCGAAGCAATTAGGACGATTTCGTCCATTTTGCACTCGCTTACGCGATGCGACGATAACGGTATTGAAAAACCATTGTCCGCTCGAAAACACGCAGCAACTCCTGCGCCTTATCAAGGTCTCCTGTAGCCTGTTACCCATCTTCTGTGATTAACTTGTTGACTACTTCCCTTAAAGAGATGTTAGATTGGACGTTGCAGTAATAACGCTTTGGGTACTTTTTGCGTTTTGCGCCAGCCTAAGCTCATAGGAGTATTTGGCTTGCCTGCAGTTTGACCGCGAAATTTCGACTTCTTTTGTACTCATGGCACTAGCGGAAACCACAAGGCTAATGGAACCTCTTCCAATGAATATTCCGCCTTTTCAACACCCGCTCCATAAGTCGGAGCCACCAGCGAGGCTTATCCGATTGACACCTTCTGCACAGGGGAGTGAACTCCTCTAGCAACTGCATGAGGCCACATTTGATCACTTGCCACCTCTGTTCCAGCGTTGCTTCCTCTTGTTCAACAACCCAACTAATGCGTGCGACTCTGTCCCTCAGAAGCATTGTAGTAACCCGGCATAGTTTCCGCGTCAGTCGGGATTCAGCTGAGAGCCGCCATACCCAAATGGAGAAGGAGAGAACGAAATCATAGCTCTTACCTATAGGAGGCTCAACATTTATGACTGACAAGCAACTATACTTGGTGCTCACAACATCTAAGGAAGAGGAGATGCTCTCCATACGACTACTTGTTGAAAAATTGACAAGCTACACAATGGCGTTTTCCTGTACCCACTGTATAAAGTTATCCTCAAAGGAGTCCGCCCTATTGAGAGCATGCTCCCAGTTGGCATGTGGTAGGTTCAGGTCGTCTATAATCATAAAACGGCGCAGAAGGCACACCTCGTTTTAGTGGATCACTAAGCTCTTTGTCCTCTTCTCGCGTTGAGGACGGGCTGAGATAAACACAGACAATTAATTTAACTTTACTCTGCACCCTCAGAAAAAAAGAAGTAACTTGAACATTTTGCGTGCACATGGTAAATGGTATCCAGTGCCTGTACTGACACCTTATAAGCAAGAGCACTCCACCCCCATTTGGATACCCAGGACAGTCTGTTCTATATCCGACGAAGTCGGCTAACAGACCTTTATTGAGTCATTTGATGAGAGCTAGATATTTGTGATCGCAATAACGTCGGCAGATCTACAACTCATCGCCAGCTCCCCCCACTTGTTCCTCACGCTACAAGAATTTGTGTGCTAAACATTCAGCAGCGTTTGCCGCATTTGTTCTCCGCTGTCAGCCGCAATGTTAAACTTTCCCTCGAGCGTAGAACCCGAGGGAGTACACGTTTTTTGCCACACTTCTAGTAGGTTTGACTGGGAATTCTACCTGGGCCCTCGGAGACAAAGCAGCACTGACGTCACCTGCTCCAGTTGCTTCAACAACCCCGGCCATAACTCTTTTCTCATTTTAGGGCAAAAACCTGGCTTTATTGAACGTGGGTCTCGCAGGTGCAGCTGGCTGCGATGATTTTACTAACCTGGAAGCGTTGTCAGAAAGCATTCCTTTAAGTTCGGTTTCTGAATTAATCAATGCTGCTAGAAATCTTGTTTTTGTTGCCACTAAAATGACCACTTTAGTCTTGGTTGTTCGCTCACTTGCAACCTGGATTTCTGCAGGGACCAAATTCATCCATGACGTTACATTGGAGTCATGCAAGAGCGATATTTCTGTAGCAACCTCCCGAATATTAAGCTGCGATCCAGTTATGCTCTGGGGAGAGGCGAGATGGGAGCAGGTAACAACATCCGTCTGAGGAAGCTGACCAGGAGCTCCAGTTAACATAATCGCCGTTAGGCATGCAAGCGGATTCCTTTGACCGAGGCCACTGTTAACTGACAAAAGAGAACCAAAGTGAGTATTATTTAAAGTTACTAATGAGCCGGTTTTGGTTCTGGAAGCGAACGTATCTGGGGCCACCTGATATCGGCCATTTGTTCTGTTAGCAAATAGGCCCGCTCGGTTGAGAAGTAGGTCACGATAAAGCGGATTTTGAAACTCTACCAAAATCCGCTTTGCACAGCCTCATTTGTGCAGTACACTTACGCTCTTCCAACTACCAAAACGATGCATCCTTTTGATGCCAAGGAGCGGTGATGTACGGACAATACGAAGTATGTCCTGAACACGCCTTCTATGCAAGTCACGTCTGGTCTTAGTCTCTCGTAGTATCGGTGCTTTTCGGTTGCAAATGAGCACTTTTCTCTGCTTACCCATAGCGACTTCATTGAAACGCGCATAATGCTCAAACTGTGCATGTACCACAAGTGATACAGCCAAGGTTGCAGCGCACTAAGGTGACACGTATCCTCGCGGCTCTCGCCTTTTTGTGGACCATTCATCACCATTTCACTGCATATCACCTAGCGTGCATTCATTCTACTCGGAATCATCTTCTCTACACGGTGGATCCATTTCACCCGGATTATTCCCATCGCTTCAACCTCTAGGTTGTGTCTGTGTTTTTCGCGGAGTTTGCCAGTGAATTCACACGCAAAACCTCTCCATTCGCAGCTTTTCGTGGATTTTTTTTACAACCCTTCGGATTTTTACATCATTCGATAGAGAAATCTTTCCGCTTGCTAACAAGCCTTCAGTCGCTTCACAGCACCACTGTGCATAACAGTTAAAGAAGAAATTTATTTTTAACTTGCGCACTCAAGCGCCCAGCAAACTTCACGATCGCCATCACATCTCGGCCAGATCAATTCACTCACTCAGACGACCCAAGCACGTCCTACACGGCCTATTCAAACGTGACCGCATGACGCACAGGCCCATCACGCGTAAGTCGATCAACGTGTCCTCCGACCACAAGCGGACAAGACGGCGAAGCACACCTACCACGCACGACACCAAACTAGCCCGTGAACCGGGCCGTGCTACTTCGCTGCAGCCGACCATGACCAATGTAACAAGGAGAGAAGTTACAAGTGGAGCTGAGTCACTTGCCCAGACAGTGGAATCGGGCCAGCATTGCGCGTTGTGTTCCGTTAACCATAGTCCGATTACTGAGGCTAACAAGCACAACAATCTGTCCGAGTCTGTTTCGTTCTGTCTTAATTGCACAACGGTTCCCATAGTAAAATGCGTAATTGCTTTGTCGAAAGATTACGACCGTCGGATTGCAGAAGTAGAATTACGTCTAAATGAAAGAATTATTTCCTTAGAGGCTATTATAGCAAGGTTTGTATCTCCACCATCTCCCGTACTCACCGCCACTAAACCGAAGAAAAGAGCCAGACGTTCTCGCGAAATCACAGCGGCGAATATCTTGGGAACCCCGAACCAATCAGGCATCACGTACGAACAAAACATCCTCAGTTCCTCAGCCATTCCGCCCTTATCCAAAGCCTCAGTAAGAACCAGACTTCCGACTGACCAACAAAGTCTGAGTATCTCTAAAGGCCAATCAACTTACGCAGCGACTATTGCTAGAGACACTGTAAACAAGACTTTAAGCACAATATCTGCGACATGTGTAAAAGACCAAGCACGAAATTCAGAGACTTGTTTTAGTCCATCCATCACGACGTCTCCCACATTACCGAACACCAGGAGGAACTACGGTGCTCTAACACTTATATGCACCAACGTTCCTGAATCCAAAGCAAATTCTCTGAGAGGTAAGCAACAGGACGATCTGAACCAGTGGAATCTCATTTGCGATCGCATAGGTGCTAGGGTCAAGCCGACTAACATCACGCGTGTGACGAGACATCCAAACTCCGCTCACTATGGTGAGCCCAGAATTCTGCGGATAACACTGGCATCCACTGACGATGTAGAGGCGGTGCTCTTATCGGCATATCACCTCCGAGGTGAAGACAGTAAGATCCGCATCTTTCCGGATGTTCCATGGAGCGAACGTCAGCGAGAAAAAAACAATTTAGACGATCGCAACACGGCCAGCTGGCGAAAAACCATTTTAGTTCATGGTGTGCCCGAGCTACCAACAGCTAGGGACGAGGAGGCTCATGCTCACGATCTGGAAGAATGGCGGTACATCCGTGAAACTCTATCTGCAGGTGACGTCATCCTTCAGTCGATTTCTAGACTGCCCGTTTCACCTCATTACAAAGGTAATGGTCCAAGGATACTGAAACTTGTGGTTCAGTCCCAGCAGATGGCGGCGAACTTAATGCGTAACTGGCATAAAATGCACAATGCACTGCCATCGGAACTACGATTTAAGGTACCATTTATTGAATCGAAGCCACCGGAGGATGTGACACCATCTGTGGCTCAATGTGATAAAATAAACGGAGCCGAAGACACTGCATCAAGATTATCAACCACTGAAAACGACGCTATTGAAGAGCGTTCTGCGTGTGCAGGAACGACGTTAGGTGGGCTGCAGGCCCGTGCAAAATGTTCATCGATAAACTGCGCAAAAAACGATCAGGTGCCGGCCTTTCATCGGCCGGCTTAAATCCAACTTCGTGTAATCCTCCACAAGCTCTTTTGGTGCTCAAGCAGCTGTCCCCTGTGTACACTAACGCTCAAAGTCTACTTAACAAACTACCCGAACTGCGACTACGTCAAAGGTCCAAATCGTGTGACCTCGTCGCTATAACGGAGACGTGGTTGCGCCCGGATATCACAGACACGGAGGTCGAGCTACCAGGCATGTCCGTCGTTCGGCGCGATCGATCCAGTAAAGGGGGCGGGGTGGCTCTGTACTACCGCAGTGACCTCCAATGTGAGCCCATAGAAGACGTGTACAGTAACGTGCAGGATACTCTTTGGTGTCGGCTGCGTTTAACAGGCAACGACGTCTGTCTGGTGGCGGTCGTTTATCGACCTCCATCCTCTACACCCGAGATGGACTTCAATCTCGCGTCTGCGCTGAGGCTTGTGATCAGCAGGAGATACAGCCATATTCTTATCGCTGGTGACTTCAATATCCACGCTCTGGATGCCCAAGCAACACCTACGGAACAGTTCAAAGCGGATCTACAAGACCTTGTCTCCAGTTTTCCGCTTTATGGCCATATCGACAATCCCACCAGATTCAGAGCAGCAGAAAGGCCGTCCATCCTGGACCGGATATTTACCAACGAAGAACTCATGGTCGAGAAAGTAATCATCGACGCTCCTTTGGGTTGCAGCGATCATGCAGTTTTACTCTTCGATTATATATGCTACGCAGAATACCCTGCGGATACTACACGGGAAAGCCGAGTTATCATACGGTACGATGAGCTGGCTCGACTTGCAGAGACAGCCAACTGGAACTTTCTGACAGACGAAGTACCGACAATCGCATGGCCACATTTCGTCAACCAATTTAGCACTCTCGTCGAAGAGGCATCCGAAACTAAGGTTGTCCACTCGAAGAAGACTGTTTCATTTGTGCGAAGTAGGACACGGAAATGTATGGCAGTGAGGAACTCGGCCTGGCGTATCTATAAGGAACACCCGAGCACGGAGAGCTGGACGGCCTATGCAATTCAACGTAATCATTGCACTCAACTCGTTCGTGAGGATAAACTGACATACCAGCAGCATCTGACGGAGCGCATGGTTTCGAATCATAAGCTGCTCTACCAACATGTAAACAACCTGCGCAAGGTGAAACGGGGAATCCCTCCTCTTCAAACGCCAGATGGCATGACGCTGACTACGGAGGATGCGGCGAACGCCTTGCGGCTGCAATATGCTTCGAACTTTCAATGCATTCCTTGGTCATCTGTTCCTTTGTCAGCAGCTGTTTACAACCAAAACTTACGCACATAACTTTCACGGCGGGGATGGTATTAAAGAAGTTGTTGTGTATGCGTAAGCACAGCTCTCCTGGAATCGACAACATTCACCCTAAGTCCCTTGCGGTAATGGGAGAAAGTTTAGCAGAGCCTCTGGCACGATTCTTCCAACGCTGCTTCGATCAGATGTATGTACCCGAGATGTGGAAATGTGGGATCATAACCCCAATTCACAAGGGCGGTAGCCGTTCTGATCCAGCCAACTACCGTCCTGTAACCCTTCTCCCGGTCCTGTCGAAGGTTATGGAAGCTATTGTTGCTGACGTATTAACAGCCTATCTAGAAGAGTCTGCCTTCCTTGCACATGAACAGCATGGTTTTCGACGGAATCGATCGTGCACCACAAATCTGCTGCTAGCAAGATCGAGTTGGACCAAATTAATTGACAGCGGTGCAGGAGTGGACGTGGTCTACCTAGATTTCTCAAAGGCCTTCGATCGACTAGACCATGGAATCCTGATCTGCAAACTTCAGAGCTTCGGCATTGGTGATCCGCTCCTAGGATGGATCACAAGCTTTCTTCTCCACCGGAGCTTAGAGGTAAAAGTGCGTGGGTCCCTGTCCCACCCAATCCAAGTCGAATGTGGTGTACCACAAGGATCGGTACTGGGGCCACGATTGTTTTTGATGTATATTGACGACATAGCGGCCCTCATTCTTTCCAACTGCCTACTCTATGCCGACGACATCAAGGTCTGGAGAGCGATCAATACACCAGACGACTCCGCAATACTTCAAGAGGATCTGGATAAGGTGTATGCGTGGTCAGTTCAGAACCAACTCCCACTCAACACAGAAAAATGCAGAGTATTACACTTACGTCACCAATCAGCATTTTTCTATAAACTGGGTGACCATGTGCTTCACACAACTGCTGAGGAAAAGGATTTAGGAGTCTTGATTCAGTCCGACCTTGGTTGTTCAGCCCAGGCAAAGAAAGCATCGAACGCGAGCATTCGAAATTTGGGCCTTCTCAGGCGCACATTTGGACGCTTCGATCCATCCGTTTTTCACCAACTTCTAGGTGCATACATACGACCACACGTGGAGTATGCAATACAAGTCTGGCAGCCGTGGCTGAGGAAAGACCTCTCTGATTTAGAGAAACCTCAACGACGCGCAACGAAGAACGTGAAAGGTTTAGGCCAGTTACGCTACGAAGACAGACTGAGATCGCTCGGGATATTTAGTGGTCAATATCGAAGACTACGGGGAGATTTGATTTTGGCTTATCAGATTCTGACAGACCCCAATCATACCTGCCGCCATCTGCTGGAGCTCAGTAACAACAACAACCTGAGAGGCCATCATCTGAAGCTGGCAGTGCAGTACAGCCGTTTGGAATGTCGACGGAATTTCTTTTCCGTGCGTGTTTGCCAAGCCTGGAATGCTCTCCCAGAATCTGTAGTCAGTGCACCAAACCTGATCGAGTTCAAAAATCGAGTTGATAGTGCACTCACCTCATTGCACTATCTCCCATAGTACAGTCTAATTTTGAGAGATCCAAAATCCATACTTTAAAAATAATTTTCCCCCACGCTAATTTCAACAGTGGATTCATATTTTGACGCTTCAAACTCAAACACGTTGCCCCATGCGAATTTCAAGGGGCGGTGACTCTTTTAACCAAATACTCCATACCTCATGATCCCCTCCGGAGTTATAGCGGATCATTATTTTGACACTTCAAACTCGGTGAGTCCACAAGCTTGTAGTGACTCGTTGTTAAACGATTTTACTGAATTGGTTTCCATTGAATTTTTCACACTTCTATGGTTTTCGCACTGATCACCCTACGGGATTTGTCAAGCTTTACGGACTACAAAAAACTGGCTAGCCCAGAAAAAGGCCGACAGGACCTCAACCTCCGCTGCTGCCAAACGGTGCGCAAGCCACCCATGGTCCCTCTGTAGGCGCAGGCGTCCTGTGGCTGGTCACAGTGACAGGCAATTCAGAAGCCGGATGCCGCCAACCATATATCCATCTGTTTACAGATATTGTGCCATCGGTACCATTGCGGAATTGGAAAACAGGGTTAGATAAAAAAGAAAGAAAACACTAATTTTTGTCCATTTTCCACTCACCGTTTTCGTTTGTTTGATATTTTTGTTGGGGGCGAAAGGGGAATTACCGCAATAAGCAGAGTTGCATGCTCACCACGGAGTTCAGTTTTGAGCCATAACTTCAAGGTTTTCAACCATCTGCACTCAGTATCGTTTGGACCCCATCCAGGGAGTCGGGAGGTACTAACCGTGGCCAGCTGTTTTGTCAGGTTTTTCATCCAGCTTCTCCACGTTGTAGGCTGTCCACCACACCGCATCCTCCAACCTTGTCCAGTGACTGCGAACAAGTCACGGCGCGGAAGACGCTGATGTATATATGTAATCTCAACAGGCTAGCAACTAGACATGGAGCCAATAAGGCCCTAGAGATTAGCAGATAAGGGGAAGTTCCTGCGTCATAAGCATCGCGGCATAGTATTTGAAGATGGGCAAATCGCTTCAGCTACTATGCCGCAGAAAGCAAGGAACATTTTGACAAAAGTAGCACAAAACGTTTTTAGTTTGTTTTCCAGACGCCGATTTTTCTTTTGTCATTTTCAATGTTTGAAGTATTAAACATATGAATCAGTACAGTTCTGTACATCATACTTCCACTGCTTCCCGTTGCCGGTTATGTCTTCAAGAGTGTTAATCGATTGGCATTCCTCATCTTTGGGTCCCCATCCTGGAAGACGTACTGGTGCAACAGCGGGTAGACGCGACGTCAGCGATATTTTATGCTGTTCCCAACAGGAAGGCTGACCACCACGCGGTCGTCTCCAGCCAGGTCCTTGACGAGCGAATAAAGCGCGACGCGGTAAACGCTCAGGTGCCATGAGTAGGACGCGACCCAGCCATCTCAACTAGCGCAGCAAAGCCAGTTTTTTGAAGAGAATACTCGCATTCCACAAGAATCGACGTCGGACGTCATTACTGTTAACTCGATATTGCCACCAAACACGAGCAATCCTCCTTAAGCAACCGGTATCGAAGGAGAAAGACAATGCATGTTTTCCACGCAAATTGGCCAGGACTCGTTCTCATACAACAACACTGATGCGCTGTAAACGCGGCCATTTAACGAGAATGAGACATGGCGACGACACCACAAGTGCCTCAGATTGACAAATGTTTCAGCGATGCGAAGAGCAACTTCTTTGCTGATAGTGCTGTCAGCAAAACACAGCTCCCAAGGTAGACAAAACTATCTATCTGTTCAAGTTGTGCGCCTTTGAGAATCAGCACGGTAGCAGGTGTAAGCCAATCCTGTAGTAGTACTTTACACTTCGATGGAGCGAAGCTCATGTCATACCTAGATGCTTCAACCGCCAAACGATCCAGAATGAGTTGCATACCCTGAGGATCATCACTAAGTAAGGCGATATCATCAGCATAATCTAAGTCGGTCGTACGTCTACCCAGTAGAAGCTCTAGGCCAAGATGTTGGAAACCTAGTGCACTCGACAAAACCTCTTCGATTGCGAAGTTGAAGAGGAATGTGGGACATAGGGCAGCCCTGTCCCACACCGCTGTTGACAGCGGATGACGAGTAAAGCTTGCCATAGACCCTCACTCTGCCGGAGGTACGAAGGCGTAGTGCTCGTAAGATGACGGCGTATTTCTCTGGCACCCCATTCTTTAGCAAGCAACGCCATAAAGCAGGTCGATCAAAGGAGTCAAAAGCAGCACTTATGTCTAGGAATGCAACGATAGTGGGTCTGTGATAAATGTGTCGATGTTCGAGGAGTTGGTGGAGCAAGAAGATTTGAACCACGCATCCGCGGTCGGGACGGAAACCAGCATGTTCTTCACGGTAGGATGATTCACGTATTGGAGATAGTCTACGGAGTAGAATGGATGCCAATAGCTTAGAGACAGCCGAAATACGACTAATCCCGCGATGATTTACACATGAAGTGCGAGCGCCTTTCTTGAAAATCGGAACAATAACTGATTCACCGCAAGAGGAAGGCACTTTCTCTTCATTCCAGCTTTTTACGAACAGCGAGGTCAGCTAGTTACTGATCTCCACGCCACCGTACTTGAACGGCTCCGGAGAAAGTTTGTCTGAGCCAGCAGCCTTGAACCGCCTCAAACTTCGAATCCCGAAGCAGACTTCCGCCTCGCTGTATGGATTCAGTGGGACGAACCACGGTAGGCAACTAGGTATACTGCGTGTACTGATGGATGGCGGAGGACAGTTGAATTGCGAGTGAAAGTGCTCGACTCAGCTGTCCATACGCCTCAGTTGGTTGGAGATCGGACTCATCCACATCTCAAATAACCTCACTGACACCAGGCTTCCTGAGGCCAGTGGACCGAATGGGTGAGAAGTATGTGAGTGTTGCTAGAGAGGGCAGCGGTCTCCATCACTAAATCACGCTCTACCACTGTGCCTCGCGGACATGCGCAGTACGTGTTCTAGCCATCGTAGTTGCCATCGCAATGAGGCTGGACCTTACCGTGGTGTGATGGTTTGCGTGCCTCAGAGATCCATTGAGCTATGCTGGGTGGTACCTTTTTTGCACCTTCAGAGCCACTCATACCAGATTGGTCAATGGTTAGAGGCCAGACAAACTCAGCCTCCTGATCCTCCAGGTTGGGGGTTGGAATGGGGGTGGCTCCTCATTTCATAAAATGGGCTCTGTAGTCCAGTGCCAAAACCCGCTGCCTTACGGTAAGGTTTTTGAACCAAAGCCTTTGGTTGAGAACCCTAATCGTTCTCCTGTCTAGGTCTGGGCAACCTGACAGTATTCTGCCCACGCAATACAATGAACCTTTCCTACAACAATTTCTTGATGCTCTGGCCGTCGCAGAGGATAATAAACGGCGCCCTATCTGCTGCATCGAGCAGGGTAGATAGGAGTATGGATGCTACTGGCCAGGCCTTCCCGTCTTCTTATCCCCCTTCTTGCGCTTCTTCATCCTTATC